GTATCCACTATGAGTTAGTGTGGAGTACCAATCTCTTTAGGATGCTGCAAGAGCCTTGCATTAGGTTATAGGGAAAGGATGTGCACTCGTGGTCACACATCTTTAAAGCCCTTCATAAAAAACTGAAATAGGTTTATAGATTTGCTGATGCGCGTTTTATTTTTAAAAAGCGGAGAAGTGTTCTATAAAGATGGCATTGGATTAGGATAGGTCTTGTTATTGTGGTTCCCACATTTTGAAGACGTTACACATGTTATGTAGGACCCCAATCATTTGAGGCGAACTATACATAAAGCCATAAGCGGTTCATTTGGCTGTTTTCTGAGATGACGGATGGTCCTATCTCATAGATTATTTAGCTCAAAAACAAACCCAACCTGTGAGTCAGTTTTAGAAGTATCCATCAAACTTCAAAGAGATGCTTCAGTTTAGTTCTCACGCTGTGATCTGCGACTTCAAGCAGCAGCATGCTGTTAATAACGATATGTGAAAATGGGGACTCTGCGTGCTTGTTTGCACCGGGAGCCTTGCCTCCAAGTTCTGTGGTTTCAGAGACATAAATGAGTAGGCCAGGTGGGGGTTGGGAGAACCCAAGCAGAGTCAAGGAAAGATGGAAGCTGAAAGGAAGCCAGAGTTTATGTGAAGATACAAACCGAAGGGGCGACATTTCTGAAGGAAGTCTTAAGTTGAATTCAGGTTGAGTGAGAGAACCGTTAAGTAGAGATGAAACCTTGACATGACACACTAGTATAAAAGGTTATGCGTTTCAAAGGTGTCCTGATGGTGGTTCCTTAGTTGTGGTCTGGTCTCAACCCCAGCGCCTCTCTAGACTCACTTTCTCAAAGCTGAGTCAGGCGCTGTGTGGTGAAGACCCTATTGTCCTGCAGTAGCTGGACCACGTTGCTGTGAAACTGGTCTAATTAACTCCTTCACTGGTCATTTATATTCTGTGGGGACAGAGAGGAAACTCATATCTTATTCACCACTGTGTGCTTGGTACCTACCAATCACAGTCTGTTCCTAAGGAGTTTTCAATTAACAACTGCTAATTAAATGGTTGGATGATTGGACAAGTACTTATGACATAGTCAAAACTTTTCCTTGGTGATCTGCACATGATTAACTTTAGGAATTGGAGTTTTGTCCCTCAAATGACTCCATCACCACCAGCGAGGTGAACTTATTAAATAAAATCTATTTCTAATAAGGTTGTACACCTTGAAAATTTAACATTTAAAATCAAATTAGTGCTACAAGCTATGTAATATAGGGTATTTCAAAAATAAACTCTACACTGATGATGGAGAGAGAGCTCCTATTGGGTGACAGTTCTTATTAAAACATACTTACCAAGCTGGGTGTTGGTGGCACACGCCTTTAATCCCAGTCCTCGAGGGGGAGGCAGGCCGATCTGTGTGAGTTAGAGGCCAGCCTAATCTACAGAGCAAGTTCCAGGACAGGCTCCAAAGCAATACAGAGAAACCCTGTCTTAAAACAAACAAACAAACAAACAAAAACATAATTAGCTAGATGTGGTGCTGCTTGCCCATAGTCCCAGCCACATGAGAGGCTGAAGTAGGGAGATCACTTGAGCCCAGGAGTTCAAGGTCTCTCTCTGCCCTTCCTCACCTCTTCTGCAAACCCCTTTCCCTCTCTTTCCCTCCCTTCCCGTCTCTTCTCTCCCCGCCCCATGATATCCCATGATATGATATATACAGAATATATATGTAACTAAACTGAAACTTCCTGGAATCGTTTGAATTGGGTATAAATTGTGACTGTACCTATTAACCTGACCCTCACTCCAGTACTTGAGTAATAGAGGCGTCCTTTTAAAAACCATCTTACATTGTTTTCTCCTTGTTAGCATGAAGCAGCATGCTCGTTTTCATGTAACTTTAACTTTTTACATCTGAGTACATTTTTAATTGAAGCATAGCTTTTATGAATGAGAAGCAGCATACAATGCTACTCAGAGTCAGAAGGTTCATTCCTGTTAGACTCTGATGTTACAGAGGTCTCTCCGAGTCTGTGGATTCAGCTTCCGTGGCTTCAGTTGCCTCAAGTCAATGAAGCTGCTAATGTTCTTGACTTGTTCCGAAGAGAAAAACACATTCACATGCCTCGGAGTGCCATATAATGGTTCTATTTTATTACTAATCACCACCACTCTCTTACAGTGTCTAGTTTGAAGTAATTTTTGTCACAAGTATGCATATAAGGAAAACAGTATACACAGTGCTGCTTCTGTTCTGTTTGCATCTGTTGGGGGTCTGGAAACATACACACCTGGGCAGGAATGAGGCTTCCGTCTTTGTAACTACACAAGAAGAGTGAAATTTCAAATGTGAACTTAGAATGAAAAACAAAATAAAGCCGACTGAGGTGACTGGGGAAGGATGGGAAGGTGTCTCTCGGTTCTCAGAACCCCTGGGTGATTGGATTAGTTCATTTCCCTTTCTTTCTCCTCCTTTTACTTCCTTGATTCTGAAGAGGTGGCAAGAGGCAAGGAGAGGTTCCTGTCTGAGTGGTTTGTTTCCCTGTGCCTGTGGGAGGTGGTCTGACTGTAGACTTCCTGTTTGGAAAGGGAGGGACTTCCTTCCACACCTGTGTCCCTGTGCCTGTGGGAGGTGGTCTGATTGTAGACTTCCTGTTTGGAAAGGTTGGGACTTCCCTCCACACCCGTGACTTTCCCCTTTGCTGCTGTTCTGGGGATGGAGGAGATGCTGGCCTGAGAAAGTGCTGACAGAACCAGAAACCACAGCAGCACTGGCAGGGAGAGGACAACAAGAACTCTTAGCTGCCATGGCCTGGGGAAGGTTTTTCACCTCCTCACTCCTATCTGTAGAAACCAGTCTCATCTCTTGTTTCAGTGATGATTCTTCAGAAACTAGGCGAAGTAGGCAGAGTGGGTAACTATGTTACTGGTTTACCGTGTCTCACAGGAAGCCCTCCCAGGATTATGATCCTAACTGCATTAAGCTGGATGGAGATGGCAAGGTCTGCCTTCTCCAGGCTCTTCATAAAACACCAGCCAGGCCCCGACCCTTCTGGAGCAGGTGCACACATGTGCTCTGTCTTTTCCCAGCCTGGTTCTTATTCTGCTGCTCCTCACGTCTATATGCTGTCCCTGTTTTTTTTAAACTCGTCAGTTTCTGCCACGTCTTCACTACAGCACAGAAATACCACTTCCTCTGTCTAGTCACTGCCCCCACCCCGTCAGAATTTGACCTGATATTTTGAATTCTACATTCTACCTCGGCCCTTATTGTGCATGTATATTCTTTTTTATTGTCAGAACCTCTTTCCTATCAGGCTCCTGAGACATATAGTTGTTTCAAAGACATAACTGCTAAGTAATAGAATAGCTTGTGTGTATGTATATTAGTATGTACACCCATAAACCTAGATTTTGTACAGCCTTAACAAGATGAAAATGTTGTAACATAAGGTGACCTGATGTGTGAAGGAGGTGTTGGCATTAATTGTCTAAAAAACAAATATCATGGTTTGTAATAGTTCTGCAAGCAGCCTTATACTTTCTTCTCATGGTCAGTGATGAGAGAATAGTCTGAGGAATTATATGCAGCTAATATGTCACAATATTTTTTGACATCATATTATATGTCATAGTATATATTATAGTTGTAATAGTTAATTGCAGTTATTGTTTGCATGGCTTAATTTGGCTCATTACCTTTTTATTTAATCATTTATTAAATTAATTAGATTGTGGGGAAATGCTCTATGCTGAGGTTTTATGGCTTAAGTGATCAGATTTCTGAATCCATAGATGCCCTTTGCCGTCTAAGAAGGGCCTAGGGTCCAACAGTTTTGGTGAAAAATGAAGCTTGCAGTTATGTTTCAGTAGTACCATCTGTGAGACATGACAGGCCCAGTTGTTCATAGCAGAAATGGTGGAATGTGGGTGTTGGTGAAGGTTGAAGGAAGAGTGGTACTTTCTTGATGCTGCCAGGGTTTCTTGAGGAGGTAAGGGGTGGGGTGGGGCGAATAAGAGAGGTATTTCAACAGAAACAGCTTCAGGATTGTAGCACCTCATTTACAGGACCGGAACAGCTGGATAAGACTGATGGAAATACAGCAAGAACAAAGCAAAGTGAACTTTTCAGAGCACACTGGGCACAGCAAACCCTGAGAATCTGGGGCAGCTATCATCAGTGTGGCAGGGAAGAGGATCTCACTTTAATAGAATGAGAATTAGCTCTGAGTGACTTATTCATAAATGGTCCTTACGCCTTTATGAGAGACCAGTTGGCACACCAAGGCCATGCCAGGAATTAGACAAGTAACAGAGATATGTGTTTTCTCTGTCCCCCTACATTTTCTCCTCAGTCCTTAAAACAGTGAGAGCCGAGCAAAAGTGAACACAAAGAAGCCTAATTCTTGACTCCAGTGGACTCCGGATGCCTAGCCTAGTCCAGATGCCTAGCCTAGTCCAGATGCATAGCCTAGCCCAGATGCATAGCCTAGTCCAGATGCATAGCCTAGTCCAGATGCATAGCCTAGTCCAGATGATGCATAGCCTAGTCCACCAGATGCATAGCCTAGTCTATGTTTCAGTCTGAGGAGGAAGATGATCTCCCAAAAGAAACAAAATCTGTGAGCGCTGACCTGAAGGGAGAGATGGCAGAGAGGCATGGTGTGACTTACTCTAGAAGTTTTGATGTTCCAGAACATCAGCAATCCATAAACCAGCAGATGTGTGCGTGTCAATCAGGAGTTCTCATTTCCTTGAATAAATACATATGTACTCTACATCTCTTTGAAAATGTTTCCTTCCAGCGTATGTTGCGTGTGGCAGGGCTTCTAGGTTGCTTTCTGAGCAGGGATGGAGAGGGATGGTCACACTGCACTTCCTTCTTCAGCACTGAGTGTGGAAGCTGCAGATTGGGCTGTCTAATTCTACCCCCCTCCCAAACCCCTGGGAGCAATCTCAGGTATGGAGTCTCCCTTTCTGATCTAGCTTTCTCTTCTTCCAGATACACACACTGTGACCAACACAACAGCAGCAGCAGCAAGGTGGATTTCCTTTGAGTTTAAAGAGAGAAAAAGAAAAATGTCCCCTTGTCTGTAGAGATGATTTGCAGTGCAGCCCGGCTGAAGCTGACCGAATGAGACTATGGGCTGTGCCTCTGCCAAGCATGTTGCTACTGTTCAAAATGAAGAGGAGTCTCAGAAAGGGAAGAACTACCAGAACGGAGATGTGTTTGGCGGTGAGTGCTTGCACACTTTCCTCCTGGCCTGTTGGTTCCAGGCCTTTCACTTTGGGGACAGTGAACAACTGGACTGGTTCTTGAGTTCTACTCTTGGGTCAAAGTAATGCTCAGACTTGAGTGAAATCAATGCAGACCTTCTTTTCCTACTGTCAGTTTATATTGTGTGTACCTAGGGAGGCTTGGGGATGATCGTAGAGGTTTTATGCACGAGTTCAGATTTAACCTAAAGAATCAAAGAGGTTTAAGTTGGTACATGAAGTAATAGCTTGTATTCTGCTGGGTGACAACTGAAAATACAGGCCAAAAGTGGAGTGAGTGGAGGTTTATAAATGAGAATTTGTTAGGGTTAATAGCATAAATCCATATTCAAAAATAGAATGAAGAGTAATTATTGTGTACCTAGTACAAAAGTCACACAAATTGCAGGTTCATGGCCTCGTCTCTAACCCCAAAGAATTTTTAAAAAAAGTAAATAAAACATCCTTTAAAAATGAAGATGCAACAGGCAGTGATGGCACACTTTTTTAATGCCAACACTCGGGAGGCAAAGGCAGGCAGATCTCTGAGTTTCAGGCCAGCCTGGTCTACAAAGCTACGCAGAGAAACCCTGTCTCAAAAGACAAAAGAAGGAGAAGGAGGAGAAGAAGCTTCGCATAAAAACTCAGATGTCTTCAGTAGCTGTGTCTTCGTTACTTGAGGGATGAGCAGGGTAGGGTGGTGTTTGCCCCTTCAGTAAGCCTGTGGCCTCTGTTGAACCAGGCTCTTCCCCATGGATACACACCAAGCCTAAGTCACTCTGTGGCATTCATTACCTGCTTGGCCACTTAATGGATTTTGAGCTTCTTGACCTTGGGTTTGTTTCTTCAAAGGTCAATTTCTACTCTGATGGAATGTGAGTATTTGTACATAATTCAAGTTAGTACAGGACATGAACCCAGTTTTTGCTAAACGTCTTCAATAGTAATATCTACTAACTGAAAATATAAATAAAAATAGTTTTTTATTTATAAGAATATTGTTATTCTATTGCCGGATAAGGAATCCCACTGAGAAATATTTCATCCCCCAGTCACTCTCAAGCAGTGCTGTCACTTGTACCATGTCTCTGTGTGTGTGCATATGTGTCTGTACATGTGTGCAAGTGAGTACATTGTGTAGCGACCAGAGGACAACCTTAGTTTACTTATCCTCGAGCACAGTGATCTCTTTGGCTGGACAAGATCCAGGGACCCAACCTTTCCATCTCTCCAGCACTGAGATTATACTGGCCTTTTTGTATGAGTTCTGGGGAACAGACTCAGGTCTTTGTCATATAAGGCAAGCTCTAAACTGACTGAACTATCTCTCAGCCCTGGTATTTGATCCATTGTAATGATTTTTCTTGAGCTGGAGTTTCTAATGTTATATTAAAGTGCACTCCCATGAATAAGAGTTTTGTTCCTGTAACAAATTTGCCTGTGTGGTGACTTCCTGGAGGATTTAGAACCTTAGGGAAATAATGGATATTTGAGCATCTTAACAAAGCCAGACACCAGCTCACTGAAACTGCAGAGACTGGGAAAACAGCTAATTGTAACTAGAGTCATTATTATGACCCTTAACTGCTAGGAGAAAATGATCCCCTGTCAAGGATTTGTTTAAACTAGCCTCTGTGTGATGTTCTGTCATGATCAGTTTTGTAATGGAGCTGCCTCAGATGGGGCTGCCACCATATGTCAATACCGGGAGGCATTTGCATTCATTTTCGTGTTGAATTTTCACAACAATCCTGTGAAATATGTGCTGTCTCAATTTGCATATGTAGAGGCTGAATCACAAAAAGCTGGCTGGCTGCTTCCAAGCTGCCCAGCTATTCAGCATCAGCATCATCTCTCAGGCCCTGGTTCACCTCCTTGTCCCCTGCCATTCCCTAGTCTGTGGCTGTTCCCCATTGCTGTATACTATTTAAGGCCTTTTGCGAGGCATCTTGAAGATCACAGAGGCAAATACTGCACAGATATTGCAATATTTGAGAGGATAAGGAAGTGTTGTGAGGCAGAATAAGCCAAATGCCAGAAGATACCTGTCATGGTAAGACCCAGGGGACGGACTGTCTTAGCTTTAAAGGCAGAATCGGGATGGCTTCTTTGCAGAAGTGGCATGTGAACCTGACCACAAGAATCTAAACTTGTTGGGTAAGAATTTAGGAAAGAGCTGGATGAGAAAAGGCTGGAAGTAATGTGTGACCTACTCAAAAATGATAAGGAATCCAGTTTGAATGGAGAATAAATCATAAGTGAAGAAACCCAAGTCAGGGTTAAATTGTAGGCAAAATGAATATCAAATCACAGTCTTCAGAAAGAACATCTTAGACCGCAAGGGCAAGAGTTGGTGATATTAGGATAAAATATTTACATTCTGTACCTAACCATCCTTTTCCTAATTTAGTTACAACATGGATATGCAGGAAGACTGTGTTTCTCTAGTGCACTATGTGTATTTCTCAGATGTTAGCATTTGATAGAGGAACCTTGTGCTTGTCATCTGTTGCTGGGTAGACTCTCAGTCTCAGGGATGTGCAACAGCCAGTGCTTGGTTTTGATCTTGAGTTGTTGGGTCAACTTACATGCTGTTTCACTCATCTCTCATCTTCCTGGTCCTACACACCATGAGCCTCTGAAGGCAAACCATCCTTTCCAAGAGCAAGTCTGGTTCCTTAGGGTAGATACATGTGCACCACATTTCACTAGCCAAAGCAGGTGTCAGAGGCCCAAAGTCAAGAGAAAGTCCCTGCTGACCACATTGCATATATGCAGAGAGCAGCTCGAGTTTGGGTAATGAGACTGTTCCAGCTCTACCTAGTCCTCTCTGACTCTGCATCCATGTAGTCCAAATCTAGGAAGTGCAGTTAAAGAATCTGCTGAGGTGGCTTTGTTTGTTTGTTTTTTTAATCTCCCTAATACTTTTTATTTTCCTCAGTACTTATTATCTTGTGGTATAATGTTAAATAAAGCAAGGCTTCACCCCTCATGAAAGGTTCTTTTCTTTTTCTTTTTCTTTTGGTCTTAGCCCTACCAGGGTCTGGCAGTAGAATTCCCAGAATTAAGTATTGAAGTAAGTATTGGATCTTCTATGTTACTGAATGCTGTAGTTTAAATTTGACAGGATACATCCTGCCTGTATCTCTCTACTTAAGTTAGTTTGCTGGGAGAAGCCCTCCTCCCAGTAGTCTCACAGCTAGTACAAGGTTTCTGGTATGTTATCAACCATTTGATATCTTTTGTCACCCATAGTTTCCAGGTCCTGTTATTGAATAGTAAACAGCCTCCAACTTAGTTGAGCAACACCGTACCAATGTGTTATTTCTCGCTGCTTGGTGGATCTCTGGGGCCTGTCTGCATCCATCCTCAAGCTCAATCATGAACCTTCATTTAGCTAGGATCTTATGTGAGCTCTACTGTCCAAGACGTCTTCAAGCCTCTCCTGCAGACCTCTCTTTACATGTGGTTGCCAGACTTTTCAAATGGTGCCTTTCCTCCTTGTGAGGAAGCTAAGGCTGCCAAGTGTCTTTTCTCCTACCTTCTTCCTTTCAAATGCTTTTTGTTTTCCAAAGGTAAACTGCTGCAAGAGCCATTTCTAAGGTCGGCAGAAAGCTGCTCTTTCATGTCATCCCAGGTTTTGTTTTGTTTTTTAAAGTAAGTTGCGTATTTGATGATAGGTCTAATCTCTTTTATCGGTTGGCTAGCAAGCTGTGGGCAGAAGTGCATGCATGATCTTTAGAGGGCACGGGTCTCCAGAGAGCCAAGGAGCAGGATACAGAGGGAATGCCCAGAGGTCAAGGTGAACACTGGCCTTATCAGCCTCCCTTTTTAATGAAACTGGCTCTTAACTGCTGCTGAGTTTGGTCTAAGGAGCACCTGATGTTCATACCAGTCCTTTTAGTACAGGCACATGGGTTATTGTAGTAAAAATTTTTGAATGGCATTGTAAGACCAAACAGCTGGTAATTGATCGGGAACCTGGCAGCCATTCTTCATGTGTACTTAGTTATTCTCTCATACTTGGTGGTACATAAAATGGCAACATAAAACGTGTGTGTGTGTGTGTGTGTGTGTGTGTGTGTGTGTGTGTGTGTGTGTGTGT